TGAAATCGAAAACTCTGAATCCAGCCCGTCCGTTCCCAACCCCACTTTTCAACCCATCTACTCCCAAACCAGAGATGACTCTCCCTCAACTCCCTCTCATTTTTCCAACTTGACACCACTTACTCCTCTTTCACCAACGAACGCTCCAACGAAACTTCCCCAGATGACACACAATTATCATATTAATAACTATGAACTAACTAAACAATTTATTAACACTCCAACAACAATTACAGCACCCTCAAATCCTAACCATTTATCAACTATCATCATCCTTAACATGATTAAACCCACCAAATTCCACATCCTCTTCAAATTACACCGCATCTCTAGCTCAATTTTCCACATCCAACCAAAATTCATCCAGTACGAACCGCGCTTACAAAGCATTGAAAGGGAATTTCCCAAATCACCCATTTCTCTCTCAACCCGTAACAGCAAAATCATACATTAATCATCCTAACCACACAAATACTAATGAATACCTCCAAATATGTTTACCTTCCGTTCCCCAATATACATATGCTTATTCCGACCCTAACCATGAACAGTCAAACTAAATCGATGAACATGTATTAATTCCCACCCTCCCTTGGACATCATTTTATCACTTCTCAAATACCACATGGTTTATCACTAATTAACATACCAAAAGAAATGGAAAGATGCAAAAACGATCTCTTCCGACTAACTACAGCACTAACCCCTAGACAATTCAAACACTTATGATACCAAAAAATTTAAAAAATGTTCGCCGCACATAAAGCTAACGATTATTCCATCGAACATTATGATCTTGACATCATACGACCTAACCAAGATCACTTCCTTTATGACGATAAATTGCTAACACAAAACTAATAGAAAACTTTTTCATTCAAACACCTGATGTCTTTACCCTCAGTTCATTAGACAAAAAACATGACCACTTCATTTCAGAAGCACTTTGTGATTTCCAAGCCTATGAATCTTATTATAACAAATTTAACATTTTCTCACTAACCTTTCATTCACACCCAAAGAACGTGATTCGCATTGTTCACACGACATCATGTTACGTACTAAACAAACACATACATACACTTACTACAGATTTATACGAAGTCATTACACTCTGCATACACCATCACGACAACCTCACCATCGATATCAGTTTATTAACCCCAAATAAACTTCACCAGTTTTTCTTAACTTCACATATACTATTAATGATACTAAATTCCAAGGCATCCTCCGCAATTATGATCCCATCAAACAAATGTATTTTTTCTGTCTCCTAATCAAGACCTTTAATGTAGAAGAATTCCACCCACTAACTGTCCCACATAAATTCCTACAACCCATCCAAGTCCCAATTCTAGAATTTATTCATAATACTAAAAATAATCATCAAATTTTCAGCCTTATTCAAAATACACCGTATGAATCTGCACCTGGCACCGATGAACTAAAGACCATCAGAGCACTTCAAATGCTTTGGCCACTATTTCATACTAAAAAAATCATACGCATATTAGCAGAATTACTAACCTCATCAGAAGTCATTCACGATGTTTTCCCCATGGCTTGTTCCCCGATGATTAAGGTTATTTGAATTGAATAATTTAAACTAACAAATTCAAAACAATATCAACAATTTTTCATCAAAAGTAATTTTTTTTGGCTTTCAGAGCACAATCATCTACAAAAAGAAAAACCGAATAAAAACAGAAATTATTTTTCCATTATATATAAACTTTTATTAAGAAACCGGAATGAACAAAGCAGTAAAACTACCCCCAAACAGCAGTAAATTGTTATATAAATTCTTTTCTCCAATGCAGTAAATCTAATTAAGATGATAATAAATTAAAAATTTCAACCCGCACAAAGTATTAAAATTGCAATTCTATCCATAAGCGCACTGCTGGCCCACGACGAATTGTTTAAAATAGAGAATTTAAGTTTTAACTTTCGCTGATAACAGTTATAACCAGTACTAACAACTTTCAAACTTTCCTTTATCCCGGTTGGAAAGGAATTATATAATAATCCAAACTAACCAACTCAGCTTACTAAACACGACCAACCACAAACTAACAGCATGACTAAGAAAAGAAAACCCACGGTACCCAAACCGGATTAAACCAGCTTAAGAACTGGATAATTTATTCTTTTGAAGACTATTCAAAAGTCCAAAGAAGAACGAGTGAAACACCAAAAAGTCGAAAGACAAACCCAAACCAAATAATTTGATTTTTAAGAAAAGGGCACAACCAGACAACAAAAGAAAAACCAGTAATAAAAAAGACATGAAAAATTAACGCAAAACAGGACCCCACAAGAAGCTAGCATGAAATTATATCCTACTCCAGGCCTAACCCACCAGAAGTGTCGTCCTGAGCATGCTCTATGGCCGGCCTAACCCACCGTGCTCCAACCACGCTTTGTGACTTACTCCCTAATTTGAAGAGAAATACTCAAGGGTGAGTAACTCATTAAAAATAACAGAACTAAACAAAAACGCTTTTGCAATAAAATTTAATAATTCATAACTAAAAACAGAATTAACAAAAATGTGTATATGTAAATGATATAATGCAGTATATAGATTTTACACAGCACAAAGACCAGCATCAAGAAACTAGACGACCCCATCACACTTAAACTACAGAATGGCTAAACACAACCGATATACTGCCTACTATCACAACTCAAAGGTTTTTAAGTACGACTTGGCATCGCAGCAAAGCAACTCTATTGAACCAGACCAATGGCCATCTCGATGTTCAAGTATACGTACAGATCCGAGTTACAAGGCACATCCTCCAAGTTCAAAACTTCACGCCATTCCCAAACGAGATTGGAACACCATTCTTTACAAAACAAGAATAAATGATCATAACAAACCATTTAAAAATCAGAATGATTTCCAGAAACAAAGAACAATTGGCGGTCACTGTCGTTGTCGAATGACAATTCATATCGACAATGCCAGCTTCCTGGAGCAGACGGATAAGACATCTTTCTCCAAGAACGGAACAGAAATGATGCTCGCGACATACAAACGATCATCATTCATCCTCCATTACAGAAGAATGTCAAAGAACAAAAACACTGTAAACTCCGGATGGGTGGAACCAGATTCAAACTAGATTTTATCATTGGTTATGATTTACACATTTTATCCCTATAAAATGTTGAAGACTAACCAATCATACTCCTTCAAAATAACAACCCACTTATTTGTAAGTGCTGAAATTACTTGTAATTTCAGCACCAGAAAGGTTTGAAATTAACTTAGAACTTAGTTGCTTTCTCCAAGAGACCGACTCGTAACAAACCAGTATACTCTAGATCTATTCAGACTAGGAGATATAAGAGTAAGATTAAGATCGGTATTAGACTAAGAAGTTGCACGAGTTTATCCGGCCGAAAATAAGATAGCGTGACGAGCAGACGGTGTACCCTATCTGAAATTACTCTATGTGTTATGAACATCACCCTTAACTCATTAGAGTTGGAAGAATAGCTCATTGTAGATTCTTCGTACAAAATCGAGTTTTTAGGCCCAACTGGTGTCTGCCCTGAGTCGGCTTTGTTTCCATTAAACGTTTAAGTATTTTGCCTGATATTTTGCCTAGATGAACTATTTTTGTGAAGTACAAACATTTTAGAATACTTCGTTTTTTTTTTTCATTTTTGTTTTTTTTCTCGTTTTTTCGACATGTTTTGTTGTTTGTACTGTATCGCAAGTGATGCGAAGCTCCGTTTTAATTCTGTGTTTTTATTGAGAGGGTGGTTAAATTTTTCCTCGCTTTCATAAATTAATTGGATGAATTAGGCTGCCCTCTAGCTACGCATTAAACGTCAACCGGTAAATATCGCGCAATGATAATCTCGAATTGACGGAAAAACTTGGCCCACAACATATCCTTTTGTAAAAAATTGAATCGAAAACTCCTGTTTTAGACCCAAGTGTAATTGGTAAGAAAAGAAAACGAAGATTAAACATAGACATTTTTCAATAAAACAAGACTGCTCCTATCAAGGTGAATCCCTCAGCTCAATTATTTTACTCAAATTAATTAATAACTCGAAGTTGTTGTGGAGAAAACTCTAACGAAACATAAACAGTCCGTCCCATTCTTTAAAAAGTTTAGAGACAAATTGTACTTTTCTGTAAAATAAATGGACATTGAGTCCCGAGTCGAGATTTTTCACCTTATTTGAAGCAAGATTTGAGCGGTTTGAGCGGTTTTTTTAGACAATTACGCTCAAAATCTTGCTTCAAAATGAGCGGTTTGAGAGGTTTTTGAACGGTTTACCTAAAAAACCGCTCAAAAACCGCGCAAGATTTGAACGGTTTTGAGCGGTTTATCTAAAAAAACCGCTCAAAAACCGCGCAAGATTTGAGCGGTTTTTGAGCGGTTTTTCTTGTTGATTGGTTTCTGTGCACATAGCTAACCCTTTACTTCAAATCGTTTTTCATTGTTAAACGCCAATGTTGCTCCGCGAAAACCGACACTGTTATAGTCGAAACCAGTGGCGGATTTAGGGAGGGGGTGCCCTTCCCTCCCCCTGCCCCCTTTGGTACTTTTTAAGAAATCCATTTTTGGCGACAGACCCTAAAATTTTTCTAAAGGCGCCTTCTTTTTAGTGCTTTAGGAAAGCTCCGAAAATCAATTTGGTCGACCTAAAAAAAGGTCTTAAAATTTTTCGAAACTTTTTTGAAAATCAGCCACTCCCTCGAGAAAATCTTAGATCCGCCGCTGGTCGAAACAAAAACGATATTAGCTAATTTAGCTAACAATCTAAACAGTTCGAAAGGAGGTGCAATTTTATTGACCCATGTTTGTTTCGGTCAGCCGCTGAATCTTAATTCAACTTAGTTTCGTGACTATAAACTAACTTTGACAGAATTTTCATGACTGATTTGAGTCGGTCAAATAAAAATTGGCAAATGGTGTAAGAGAGTTTATGGTTTTTTACATACAATGTTCTAGCATAATAGTAAAAGATTGTAGCAAAAAAGAGATTTGAATACAGTAGAAATTTCTTGAGTAGCATACACGTTTTGATTCATACGATAATTAAAGTGACTCAATTTTTTTGTATTCAGTTTACTTTTGAGAAAAATATTCCGTTTTATCAAAAAAAATTTGCTAAAAAAATTACAAAATTGAATTCCTATTAGCGACCACTAGAAAACAATGATTTCTGATAGTGACGATGAAGACGATGGCTATTCACGCCTCGCTCCCGCCATCCAATCACCTTCAAATGAACAAGCAGGGGGATCAAAACAGTATTTACAGATCCCCAAACAAACAACAAGCAAAGAGAATTCCTCTCAATCTGATACCAAACCAACATCGTCTAGTGCAGCTTACATGGAGATAACAGAAAATACAACAATGGCTCAACCTGATGCGAGGGGGGTTGTTCGACCCCCCAAACAGTTCTTACCCAACGCAAGTCGGGAAAAGTCATTCAGTAATGTGAATAATGATCACGTGTCTGATGGTCACGTGACAGCCAACGAGGCAAATCTGCGTGTAATGCTTGAAGCGGAAGAAGACCCGACATACAGTGAGCCGAAAATAGATGTTAAGACGAAAAGGACACTGAGAAGGAGCTCTTCTGGTGGCATTTATGATTCTGTGATTGAAGTTACGCGACATGACAGGTAAGTGAACAAAGTACAAATCAATTTTAACAATACCCTGAAGTAATACATAAGTAGTTTAGCACCAGGTTGTTTTAAAATCCAGAACTAAGGATAATTGAGCTTAATTGCTCATTAAAACTTTTAATAAAACAGCCAGTTTTTTGCGTTTCTGTTTTTCTAGGTACGCGCTGTATGTCCTGCTGTCCAGGTGTATCGCCCTTCCCTTCAATGCTGAGAAACAGACCAGTCTGTCTGATAAGATGCAACACACTCTCACCCCAGTCCAATTCGAACACATCAGGTCAAGGGTCACCAACTTCCTCAGGTGAGGCCAAACAAACATTACGAGGCCAAACTGTGTATTTTGTGAATTGTAAGCGCATTCCGCATCAAGTATGCTGCCTTTGTTCTTCTTTTGTTCTATCTTTTTCTTTGATCGTTCTGACAAAATTTTAACATGTTTAAAGACTTGTCTCTGGAATCCAGGAACATAAAGACATAAAATTAAGCGCCTATCCAGTGCACAGTTTGGCCTCATAATGAAACGAGCATTTGTTAACGGTTGGGTTGGTTGTTTTGAAGTTTCAATTGTCTTTTACTGATTCTAAGGTTGGCCAGTAAGATATATTTTGATAATTTTTTTCGTATAAAACCTAATTAGTCAATATAACTAAAGTTTTTTCAAGTTTTTTTTGTCTATATTCAAGTAAATAACTCACAAATTTTTTGAATGGGACTAATCAAAAACAGCGGGAGCATACTTATAACAAAACCAATCGCCTTATAAGTTACCTATTTTAATTTTGCTATGACAGAAATTGAACTTCGCCAAAGGCAGAATGATAACCCGATGGCAATTAGGCATTGTATTTTCTGTGACCAATCTAATTCGGAAAAACTCAAACATTTTCTTAAAAACATTTTCAATACGAGGCCAAACTGTGTAAGGACTTGTCTCTGAAATCCAGTAACATACAGACACGAAACTAAGCGCCATTCCTGTGCACAGTTTGGCCTCGTCATGTTGTACTGCCAATTATATATGGGACTATTGGGAGTTTTTGGAACCATATTTTTAGTTTTCTCCCTATGAATAAATGATGAAATTGAAAAATTGAATTCATAAAAACAGCTAAAATTTTAAATGAGTTTGCATAGTTTTTGTATAGATTATTTACACACTGAATTTATAAGTAGTCTTTGTCAAGTGTCTCAGTACGACTTTGACCTGGACCGGCAACAGATTAGGTTCTAATCATATTCTAGAAAGCTATGGCTACTGCAATTGTTGTGGTAGGTTATTCCCCGTCATTTGGGAAACAATTATAACGTTCAGAAACAGATTTTTTTTATAAAATACAAGAAGGAGCATAACTCTGTTATATCTGACTGAATTTCGAAAGCAACGGTATCCTCTTCGCCTGGGCTCCCCGGGTCAACGTTCATACAAGAAAAACTCCTATCATACCTTTTCATATTTGGCATCTATGGGAAAATGCGTGTCATACGATAACTATAAAGAAAATAAAAAAATAAACAAATTAACAAATTTTTTTGATCGAAAGTTTTTCTAATTTTGCATTAAACTAATTTGCAACTCAATTAAAACACTACTGTGGCAGTGGCTGTTACATGTTAGCATTTCTGGCATAGAAAAAAAAATACAAAAATTGCTTGTCATAAAAATTTCGTGTATGAAAATTGTTTGATTTGAGCGTTTCCATAAAAAAAAAAGAGGAAACAATTTTTTTTTAAATTTTATTTTCATTGCACACTCGTTTCTAAGCAAAATAAAAACCATCGTAAAAACACTTTTTACATGCAAAAAATGATAAGACAGTGTGAAATTTAATGCATTTAATTCAGTGTGAAAATCTTAACATTAATTTTTTTTTGGCAAATGTGCGTTCAATCTCCTTTAAGCAACTTAAAGTTGTTCGGACAAATTCATTTTTTTCGTACTTTCGGTACTACAAACAATTCGTGTCGCAATTCAAAACCTGTTTTAAGTCGCTTTGATAACATTAACTTTTTCGTGACAAATCTGCATGATAAATTGGTGCAAGCTAGCGAAAACATCAGGTGATTGTCCTTGAGACATATTGCTTTTTTTACGGCCAGCAATAATCAAGGCTGAACCAAACTAGAGCGATAAAACGGTTTTAAAAAGGCAAGTAGGGCTATAGTCGATCGAGTTTTCTTACATGTATTTAGGGGATCGGTAAGGGGATCCAAACCCGCTCCAACTGGCAAGTCTGTTTTTAGTACATCTAGAATAGGCCGCTCGGCGAGTAGTTCTTTTATCCTGTTACTCTTGCTGGGTGCCGGACATCAAGCCGACGGGACTTCAAGCCGAATTGTAAAATTAGGGACTTCAAGCCGAATAATTCCTTATAAAGTCGTGAAATATGAACAATTTGAAAACTTTTTTGAAGAATTTCTCAATTTCATGATCTTTCTTCACTAGTTATTGGCGTTTGCTCATAATTTAAGCCTCCAAATGATGTTCCGGAAAGTTGAAAAGGAAAATATGGTTGAAGGCATTTTTCATGTTTATAATTTATGCATTTCAAAACCGGCTGATGTTATTAACGGATGCGAATCACAAGTAGTGCATTGTCATGAATAACGCTTACTATGGACTAAACTCGCCAAAATTTTAGAAAAGCAACATTTTGCAGATGATAAAATAGCGTTTTGGGGTGCTTGTAAAGTTTTAATTTCGGCTTGAAGTCCCGTCGGCTTGAAGTCCCGTCGGCTTGTTGTCCTAGACCCACTCTTGCTTACATTTGGATTGCAACAGAAAATATCAACAATTTGCGCGGGTGTTAACGACACTTACACTCGGGTATAAAGTTGTGTGAAGGGTATTTTTTTCATTCTCTGAAATTGTATGATAAGCATTTTTTGTCAACAAGGCTCACTGGTTTTGTACTTTTTCCAATTAAAAATAAGTCGTATTGGGAAAAAAATCTATTTGGCGACCACTTGTAATGGTTTCAAATTTGAAAAAGTTAACCATCATTTTCTTAGTGATCATAATCAGGTTCGAGTTTTTTTGATTTTTTTTTGTTTTGAATGCCTTTTTTTATCATTTAACATTAGGTTTTGTTAAGATTATCAATTTTAGTTTCAAAATAGTGTTCTATGATAAATAGACGAATGTTTGCTGATTGCTCAAGTATAAAATTTTTGACCAAATTGATAAAAAAATATATGAAAAGTTTCAAAAAATTTCAAAATTGTTTCTAACTTGTTCCGTTTGTTTTTTGAAGGAAGATTGCGACTTATTTTTTGTTCTATGTGAGCCAGAAAACAAGCCAATTTGTTTATAGAGGTGACCTAAACGGGATTCGAAGTGTGGACAAAACACTGGCTGACTTGATTGAGAACTTCTTCGACAAATACATGCGGCTTTACAGTGTGCAGAAATGTGTCAAGAGCGGAGGTACCATTGCGTTTGACTTATGCAAATTGCGCCGTTTTTGGGAGTTTTATTATTGATGTTGATCAATAATGTTACTTTTAGTGGTCTGAGTCTTAAAAAAATACTAACAGACAATTGTGTTATTCTCTTATTCGCCCGTTTTAGCGATGACGATGGCGGAATTGAAAGATGTGTTTGCTCTGAATGTGTCCAGACAGGTGGAGAACATGGGCTTCCGGGATGTATCCAGTGCTGACCAGCTAAAGAACAAGTGGAACTCATTTTTCCACCTCATCATTGAAGGCAAGATCCGAGCGAGCATTTAGCCAACAATTGCCACAAAAAGGAGCTGCGGATTTCTAGCTGGAAAACTTACTATTTGACATCCAAATTGATTTTCAGAGCTCAGCCTTTCAAAAATCTATGAGGATGTATTATATTAAAAGTTTCGCGGTATGCATGTTTTGCAGAAAAAAATGTGTGACACAAAAATCTTTGGAAAGCAAGTTTTAAATATCGGATGAACTGAAAAATAAACGCCTCGAACATTTACAGGGGCCCATTTAAATGACGCGGCCGAAAGCAAAAAAACCTAAGACTAAAATTTCTTTCTATCTATCAGGGCATGGAATCCAATCCACGCCTGCCATCTTATCTAGAATAGCTGAAAAATCAAGACGAAGTTCTCTCAAGTTTCAGACATGGCTTACAAAAAGAACACAAAACTGCATTTTTTGTATTATAAGCATGAAAACAATTTATTATTATCACTCTGTCGCTAAAAAATGTACATTATCGTGATTTAAACGAATTCAATTACTATTTCATTTAATGTATAGGAGATCGAAGTCAGAAGGCGTCGGATGTGTCTGCGCTGTCCTATAACAAGGAGAAGATGATGCTGGAACTGAGACTGGTTCTCAAGATCAGGACTCAGATACACAACAAATTGGCCACACTCATGCAGGTAGCAAAGAGATCAAACAAAAAAGCTCTAAAGTAAAAGCTCATTCTTTAAAAAAAATTCAATGTAAACAAGCGACAAGAATATCAGATTTTTCAGATTTTTTTTCTGTCTTACTCTTTGTTTATGCTGTGAAATATGATTTTTGCCGCTGAAAAATTCTGAATAAAAATCATACCAGCGAAAACTTCTGACCTAGAAAGGACTCTATGTCAATCAAATCTGTGGATTCTTTTCAGCTCAACAAGCAGCCTAAATTGATCTCTCTAGTGAAGGCAGAGCTGAGAGAGCGGAAACAATGCGAACACGACCCAGAGATGTTTGTAAGCTTTTTCACAAGTATCTTTCTAAAGTTCAGATAGAAATTCACTTGTTTCATTGAAAAGCCAAGCTATGTTATGGTATGGATAACTGCGGATTTGATTGATAGTGGAATCTGCAGGAAAAAAAAACGATTCAGTTCAGTCCCTAAAACATGCAAACTTTGTGAGAAGTTTTGCAATATACTTGCAAAATTTGCTTTCCTTTAACGAGGAAGAGTTTTCACTGTTGATTTATAACTGATGCATGTCGCTCAAGCATCTGAATTTGCAAGTTTCTACAATTCATTGCCATTTTAATAGAGATCAATTAGCGGTCGAAATGTTCTGCATACAATTCGGGCTATTTTGGTGCCTTATATTAAACCTAATATCGTTATAACTGTGGTGAGATTTTGTTGAATATCTGTAAGAGACTAGCAGAAACTTTAAAAAGAACTGAACAAACCAAAAACAGCAAAAAAAAGTCGAAAACATTTTGTAGTAGTAATTGAAGTCTTGCTCTATATTTTGCGAGTGAAGTCTAAATCTTGCAAAAATCTTCCAAATTGAAGGCAATTTGTTGCAGTAACCTTGCAAGATTTCTTGCAACAATTCTTGTAAGAGTTCCATTTGGACAACGTGTATAATTATCATGATCAGACAATCAAAGCTTGAGTCTGAGAGAGGCCGCAATTTTATCCAGAAAAAGTAGCCAATTTTGTTGTAAATAACTCCGTTCTGTTTAAAATTGGCGCGTTTCTTATATCAGTATCTGTTTGATACTATAACATCAACATCCGTTTTTTTCCAGCGCAACCCAAGGAGATTGCTCGTTTTGAACAAGTCAGAGTATAAACAAACTTGGTGTGAAAACTTAATTCATTGGTCAAAACTAAATAGTTCATTGAAAAAAATTATGACAGAGAAGTAATTATTGCATGATTGGGCAGTTTTTTGTCTTGTAGTTCCGACTTATGCATAATTGCAGAAAAATTACACTTGTGGGTGTTTTTTGTTTGTTGCTAGATATTAGGCTTCAAATATTCCTTTTTTAAATAAACTTTTAATTTTTATAAACTTCAACCACGATTATGTGTTTCACCATGAGTTGTTACTTTATGCGCTAGATCTAAATATATGATACTTTGTTTTTTAACACCCTAAAGAATATCTGCCTAGCAGTTGTAAAATTGATTTCTGCGAGTAGTTTGCGAGTGAGTAGTTTAAACTGATTGATGCATTTTTGAGCAAAAAAAATAGGAAAAACCCTGGAATTGAACCCTCAATCTCGTGCGCTCAGATTAAATTCAAGAAGAAAAATACGACCCCGTTGGTGCCCTGATTTAGTTACCACATACATTTTTTGGTTGTTTCGTCGACTGAAAACTGTTGCATCACACGTAGGCCCTGGAACACCAATTGTTGACAGACTTTTTTGCCAACCGGCCCAGAGGCGTAACCCACATGTTAATTATTTAAACTAACAAGAGCGCATATACTTAGCGCACATTAAGCTTTGACGTAGATGCAAAATTTCACCCAGCAAATAGCAGCGCACCTGCGATTTGAACCAGCAATCATGTCATGTGAGCATTAAGACCAGATAGGCGGAGAGACTTAACACTTCACCATACTTGCTCTCTTGATCACTAGATTCTTTTTCTTTGTGCAAAAATGTCAGTGCATTATACGGATAAAACTTAATTTTTGTTCCAGTAGTAGAATAGTTAATAGGAAAAATTGGCTAAGTCCAGGTTTCGGACTCACACTATGTTGTGTTTATTTCTTGGAAAATTTTCGGCTCCTTTCTGTTTTACCTTGGGGCGGATCTAGGAGTTTCTCGACGAGAGGGGGGGGGGGCAGATTTTCAAAAAAAATCCAAAATTTTGGTCGACCTTTTTTTTAGGTTTGACCGAATTGATTTTCTGAGCTCTCCCAAAACACTATAAAGACCCAATTTTGACTAAATTTTCTGCGCCGCACGCAAAATTTTTTAAAAACGGGCTAAAAAGAGCATTTTTGCTATCCCTCTTCAAAATTAGTATAGTTTTGGCGCCAAGGCGCCGTTAGAAAAATTTTAGGGTCAGTCAGCCAAAATCGATATCTCAAAATAGCACAAACGGGAACCTTTGGGTTGGAAGGGCGTCGAATTCCTGACGAGGGACCCGCCTCCCTAAATCCGCTGGTGACTTTCGCCTACTTTTCTTATTCATTTTGAAAAACTTCTTCAATTTGGTCATAATGCAATGAAATTTGTCATGGTGAACCAAGTGACAACTGACAATTATGAACAGATTTGTTTTCCAGACTCTTTATCGTATCATCACGCATTTAGCCGTAAAAACACGTAAAACGAGCTTAAAAATCAATTTTTTGAAAGGTGAGGGGGAGTGGAAAAGAGCCGCTTTTTTTCAAAAGCTCAATTTTAACGGATCTAGAAGAAGCCAGTGATTAAGGCAGGTTTAAAATTATTCATGTCTTTTGAGTTAATGTCAGTGTTTATGAGTTAGGCCTGTTCCTGGAGTCGATCCCTTGATCCCATGTTTTTTGGACTGCATTGATTCGTGTGTGTTTGCAGAAGATGCCGGTGAATTGGGCGAATGAAGACATGGAGTATGACGTGGTGCGGGAGTTGAGCAGACAGACGGATGACCTCATGAAGAATTTGGAGTCAGTAGAGGCTAGTCAGAACGATCACATGGCAGACGAGTCACACGGCGAACTCAAGAGGCGAGCTCAATTGATTAATTTTCAAATAATATAAAAATAACAAACTGATTACCGTGTAAAAATTAAAGATTTTAAAATGAAAATGTGTGGCAATATCTTGGTAAAAAATGAATAGTTTTATTTGAAAAAGCAGTTTTTAGCGTGCACTCCTCGCTCAAAACTATTCATGTGAATGATGCCAAGGTCCCTATAATCAAGGCACTGAAGCCCTTTCAAAATATTTTTTGCTTAAATTTAAGGAAATTGATATTATCCCTTGACCCCGATTTTGTTTAAAATACTAATTTAACTCTTTGAACATTGTTCCATTTAGATATCTCTCCCGGATGAACTACAAAATACGCAAGTCCAAAACATGGATGGAAGAAAGGTGAACTATCTCAACTAAATTCAAATGAAATATTTTGAAACCTTTCGATTTTCAACTGTTCGCTATTTCAGAGCCAGCTACTTTGGATCCCCTGATGCTGACTTTGCAATGGGAGCTGTGATTCCAGTATTCACTGTTACAGTACGTATACTGGATTTAGAAAAAAAAAAACAATTATCGGCGAATATTTGGATTCCTTTTCAAAGATTGTGGGTTTCTTATAAAAGCATAAAATGTGCCTAATATATGTGTGTTTGAGGGGGGGGGGGGGGGGGGGGTGGGGGTGTTTAGCAATCAACAACTTTTAAATGATCTACTTCTCAATCGACTTTCCCTCTCATTCAAATGTTTTGCGGGTTCCGCTTATTTCGATCAAGAGTGGGTCTAATACTTGCTACTTACGAGAACATTTTGTGTTGCAATACGACCTATTGAAAATTATTTTTAAAAAATATTTCCAGACATTCTGTAATTGTTATCATTATTTAGTTCATCTGGCTCCCAATCATTTCCTCTCCAAAAGCAGTCAGTTCGGGAAAAGACTGTTTTTGGGGCTGAAATGACTGGTCACGAGTTCATCTTGTTGTTCAGGTGAAGATAGAACACATGCGTGATGTGGCCGTGAACTTCACCCGTTCCAAGTGCATGAGTATAGCCCATCTCAAATCGGCCAGAGGAAAAGATAACACCCGGCGACTCAATCTGGAACCCACTCATGACCCGTCAGTTGGTTTTCTAGAGAAGTTTACGTTTTACTCTGACTATGACAGGAGTTTTGAAGCAGGAAGATGAGGCGTGCGATGATACAAGGGAAGGGGGAGTTTTTCCAAAAAAATGAGAAGTTTTGCCGACCTTTTTTAAATTGATATTCCTTTCAACCAATTTGATATTCCGAGCTCTCCTGAAGACTTACAAACCACTAAACTCGTCAAAAACTTTGATGTTTGTTTTTGGTTGTTGATTTTTCCCATTTTTCCCAACTTAATATGATTTCCGCCTCTATTTTCGATTGATCTATTTCCGGTTCTGTCTAAACTGATTTCCAGTTTAACGTATTTTCATGTTTGGTTTCATTTTAGAAGTTATTTGGAAGGTGTGAATGAAGAAGCAACCTTCTCCTTTGGCGGTCCCCGCCCTCTGCTCGAAGTCTCCTTCTGCACCTTCAGGAAAGAGGGGCCGATTGGGAAGTCACTGGCTGCCACACACAAACTAGCCATTGCTCAGTTCCAGATATACCCGGACAGAATTGAGGTTCACACATCTACTCTTAAGTGTCTTCTTTTTTGCTTGCAGTAAATTTTCTAGAACAGTTTTTTTTAAGTTGCTTTGACTTATCAAGTTTGCTTCTTTGGTTTTCATCTTCGTCGGTTCATTTTTAAAAACAATCCCTTTTGTGACGATTAGTTCTAAGGACTAATAGAACTTCGGTCAAATTGAAGCATCTAAGTCGATCATTAATCACTTTTCAAAAGTCCCGAATTTATCGTATAGTAATTCCATTTAAAATTTCGAGAACTGATTTTACATGAAGGCCAACCCGGACTTCCCAGAGTACAAACTAGTGTACCAGTTGGGCGCAAAGAGAGATGTGAAGATGATGCCACTGAAGAAAACTTTTCCCCCTCTCACTTGCAGTCTCTCCATCTCCTTCGGCATCCCAGAAAACGTCAAGTGCACAGGGTGAGTTAACACCACCATCTTGACGACCAACCAAAAAGGCTTCACTTATATCCGGGTTAAGGTGTTCGACTTAGGTTTTGACCGAGTTCGATCAAGCCCACGGATGCTGTTCGACTCTAAATTCGTGGTCGAAACATAGTCGAACACTAGTTCGAGTCATGGTCGAACACAAAGTAGAAAGTAAATTACGGTCGAAACATAGTCGAGCAGAAAGTGTGGTCGAAATATAGTCGAACAAAAATTCGAATATAATGTGTGATCGAAACATAGTCCAACACAAACCAAATTAGGTCGAGTCAGTCGAAACATAGCACGCTTAAATCGAACACAGTCGAACACATTTTTGCTTCAGTCCAGTCGGTCGAAACATGCCCACTCATACTGAAGTTTCATCGATAAAAGTCGATTACATAGGATTATTATTGTCTGTCTCTCAAAAGTGAAAAACTATTACAATTGATTACAAGTGGATTATATTGTCATTACTTTCTGTAGCAATGAAACTCATTCTTGATCAATTTTAATCGATTACTTTCAACTAAATTTCAAAAAGCTTTATCGAAAGAGACATATTCCAATTTAATCAATTCTAACAGATTGTAATCAATTTTTTAAAATATTTTTGCGAGCTTTTATCATTTGTTTATGAAAATGTTATAGTTAGGTTTGTTAATTTATTCGTTTTTTACTAAATTTTGATGTCTCTTTTTCAATTGCAATTTTTCATAGAGATACGTAAGTTTGCTATTCTTTTATATCAGTTTTTTTTCCAACTGCACAATCTGCCCACGTTTACCTACGTTTAACACTTCCCCAAAGTTACCTAATCCGGCGCGGCGCGGGGGGATGGGTTGCTAAAAGGAGGAACGGGGAAGGGGGAGTGCAGCAGCGGAGGAACGTGGGGTGACAATTGACGTAGCGGGGGTACGAGGGAGAGGGGTAGTGAACATTGGGATTATCGTGTTCCTTCGGGTTCGAGTTTTGCAGAACTTCCTGGAACCTGATCTAAACTACATTTTATTATTGGATAAATTAGACATTTTATCAGTATAAAATATTTAATATTAACCAATCATATTCCATCTAACTAACAACCCACTTATTTGTAAGTGCTGAAATTACTTGTAATTTCAGCACCAGAGAGATTTGAATTTAACTTAGAAATTAGTTACCTCTCGAAGAGAACTTCAGCAGCCGCAATAAGCCAGTATACTCTAGATCTATTGAGCCTAGCAGAGACTAGTTAAACACTCTGAGAGCAGTAGATATAAGAGTAAGATTAGGATCGGTATTACACTAAGAAGTTGCACGAATCTATCCGGTCAAAAATAAGATAGCGTGACGAGCAGACGGTGTACCCTATCCGAAATTACTCTATGAGTTATACCCCTATCACTTAACTCATCTGGTGCGACCATAAGTCTCGAATAAAGACCTTAAAAAACAAAATAGCTTAGAATTAACCAAAAATAGATTAGAAAATAGACAAAACATTTTCAAATGTTACACGACAATAACTTAATTGAAATGTCTCTACGACTCAATAGATCAGAGCCGCTATTCCGCACAATACGAGAACTACCCGGTATTGGAAAAAGACCTCGGACAAGAGACGACATACGACTACATAGAAACTTACCATTTAGTTTCATGGTCGTACGGCAAAAGCCAACGCAAACTTTTATATATAGAATCTTACTAGCAATGAATTTAGATTTTCATTTGCAAACATAAAATCCTTGAAGGAAATCTTCAATGATTATTTCAGGCGCTAGATCAAATTATTATTGTTCAATAACGATTGATAAAAACATCTCAAATCGTTCCCTCCAATTCTGCAGTAATATATAAAACATATTTGAAAAAGTATTTATTGAAAACAAAAATAAAAATTAGTAGCATGACAATAAAGTGTTAGTATATATAAATCATCCTGTTGTTCCACATTCATCACCTAAACATAACAGCAATCATAAATCAACTAATATTATCAAAAACTAAAATCATTAACCAAATAAATTTAAATTATTTTAAACTTAATTTTATTTAATCTTAAACCAGATCATCAAGGCTTTCCTTGGATCTAAATCAATTTTCTATCTTTTAAATTTTAAATTCTGATCATCAAGGCTTATCCTTGGATCAAAAAGAACAATTTTGTTCTCCCCCACCCACTTATCAAGTGTCTAATGACCTCAAACGTCGATTCACTACCCACCTTTTAAGAAATTTTTTAATCACGCTAACCATTGAAATTAGGCTAAACTGTGAAGAACTTCGGTTATTCATCCTTCACTTGAACCCTCTTCTTACCTGACTAAGGATAAATCTTAAACTTAGTAAGTTTAAAATAGTATCTAACGAACTAATTGCGTTCTAATTATACCTGAACCTTGTGGATCGATTTACTATTCTCCAACCCTTGAACACAATCACTACCCCTAAATAAGATTAAGTAAGTTAACACCTTAGCTTAGACAAGCCACGAGAAATTAAAAATCATTCTTCGGAATTGATATACTTTTCTCTCCAACCCTGAACAAAAAGACCTAGGTTAAGCTAACCAAAAAATCGTAAGGACTAACAGTCTAGGAAAATTAAAATCACTAATAACTTCTTGCATCTAGCAGAGACTAGTTAAACACCCTGAGACTAGTAGATATAAGAATAAGATTAGGATCGGTATTAGACTAGGAAGTTGCACGAATCTATCCGGCCGAAAATAAGATAGCGTCACGAGCAGACGGTGTACCCTATCCGAAATTACTTTATGAGTTATACCCCTATCACTTAACTCATTCCTTTTTAATTTTCATGAATTTTATCTACAAAAAAAAATTCGATTACATTGAAAACAAAAACGAATTATAATCGATTAAATTGTATTTAAATGGATTTATATTTTTTGAAGTTGATCGTTTATAATGGATTAAAATAAATTACGCTGTCTAAATTTGCCACGACTATCGAATATTTAGACAATTTTTTTACCAAGCAAAATCCATTATATTCGATTTGATCCATGAGACATCGGTGCGGGCAGTTTGGGACGACTTCCTCGAAATATTGCCATTTTTGATCCAAAAGGTAGTTTTAATTGCATAAATTTAAGTTTTAAGGTCTTAAAGCCTGCTCGTTTGCAAGCTTGTAAGCCTTCTCGCTTGCTTTATTTGCTCGAATTATGACAAAAAAAAATCTTTTTTTTTCAAAATTTTTTAATGTCATTCGAATCTAGACTGAAAGTGCTTCAAAATGACATATCATTCAGCTATCTCCAATGATTGTTTGTGTCAGCTGATTTTGCATGGAAAAAAAGAAGAAAAAAACTAAAAAAAAACACTCGAATACAAAGTGCCTCCCCATTTTCACTGGTCGGAACAAGAGCTCCTCGGATCATCGAATTTTGCAAAGAAAAAGTTTACGGGTAGAGTTAGCATATCCCCAGATAGGTGTCAAAAGCGACTTCAATTAAGTTTGTATTAGCTGCCAGAGATCTATTCTTTCGATAAGATCACCTGATGAATGCTTAAAATTATATATTCACGGAAGCTTGGGTTGTAGAATTCGAGTTGAGTGCCCACAAAGCATAGTTCAGTTCATAAAATCGTTAGCTCGGTTAATTGCTACAATTTGAACATGATGTTTCTAGCGAGCCAGCAGATCAGCAAGGACCATTTATGGCCAAAGCGAGAGATCTTAGCTGTTGACTGCCATTGTGATTGAATAATTTTTTTCTAGATATGTATGGTCGATCTAAAATTTATTTAAAAAATTTCAGTGAACTCTTCATTTCCTCGAAGGAAATGACGAACAAGACGTGGAAGAGACGTTACGTCATACTCCTCGAGGCATCCAGAGCTAACTTTGTGCTCAGTTGCTACAAGGACAACAGGTCACATGATACAATAATGAAATGACATAATTATGTGAGAAAAAACAGACCCAATCGGCGAAAAAGTTCTGCTGAAAAATTTAGTCATTGCTTTGCCCCCCCCCCCCCCGCTCTCCAAGCCCCCATAAAAAAGAAATATATTTGCGCCGAATGCGCTCATTAGAAAACATTTAAGTCAATTGGACAACCAAAAATGGATGTCATAAATTAGTACCAACAGGGACACCCTTTGGGCGCTCAGGGGGTCGAATCCCCGAGAGTGGGGGCATGTCTCCTCCCTAGATCCGACAACGCTAGAAAAACGAATTGTAATCTATGGTCGGTTATTGTATGCTATGACCTGTTGGATAATAGTGGCCAGCCTACGGACGTTCTGCCCCTGGATGGTTTCACAGTGGACTATTTGAGTTACGAGGACGAGGCCATGGATGATGTGGTGGAGTATCCGAAAAGTAAGAAAACACTCTCTAAAGTGCTTTGAAACTTCATGCTACTAATCGAAAAAGCTAAAAAGAAAAAATTTTTGATTCAAAGTTTTTTCTGAACTCTTGTTACGCCATCGAACTGTTTCAAATGATATTGGATGTCAAAAGCTGTTCGAAAGTTAAGTTTTGAAGTAGGAACAGGGTTGTCGATAGTAAAAGTTTAGTAAAATTTGTGGTTTTCTTAATTTCCTCAAGAAAGAAATCAAGATCAGGAACGTACCCAAAAAAGTGCTAGAAATTCCTAACCGAGGGCACAACAGAAGAAGGTTTTCTATTGGACGAGCTGAATAGCCGGTATGTTGGACTTTTTCCTCGGGAATAAATCTTTTGGATCTACTCGAAAATCTCCATCTTTCAAAAGAAAAGGGGGAGATTGTTAAAACGGTTAAGTTTAGGCCAATCAGAACGCAGCAGCAGAAATCGAATTCTCGATAGAAAACAATAGTACTAAATTATTGTTTTTATCTATAGAGCTGGAGATTATTTAGTAGATACCATATAGCTTTTTACTATTTTAAGGGTAGCATTGACTTTTGTTACCAGTAGGAATTACCCTCCGCTGATTAAGTCCATTCTCAATGAACATAACGTCTTCTGTTCTAACTGAAGGTCATAAATAAATGGTCGACAATGTTCACACGTTAAACATTCTCTAAAAAAATTTGGCTTTTAAGGCCGAACATAAACATTTTAGTACACCAGTTAGCTTAGGATGACTATTTACAAATGTGATAATAATAAGTATATTTAGCGCCTCACAAAACTGTAAGGATGTTTAAATTTTCAGCCCTCACACATCTTAAGCATTTAAAAGCTGTGTCATTGTTTTTTTTTGCATGCCTAATTAACAGGCCTTTACCAATGCATCCCACGTAAGTTCAGCTTCCTAACGTTTATACCACACTTTTTTTTCACGAAGGTTTTGAATTTGTTCAATACTGCTACTGTTTAAGTCATTTTTCCACACTTGCATGTTCGCTTCCTAACGTTTATACTGATGCTGCATCTGAAATAATACGATCTTGCATCTGAAGAAGTCGACCCTAGCGTTTTTTGCTCATCTTGTTCCGTTTAATTTTGCAGACGACCATCGTTTTTTGTAAGCAAGTGAGATACGTTTGCCTTCGGTTTTCTGGTTATAATATAAATCAAATTAGATTTCCGGGCAATTGCTCAGATTGAAAATTCCTGTTGAATCAGTTGACGTACACATGACTGCATTGAAGCTCCAACTGGTTTCATTTTGTTAAATTAGGTTGGTTGATCTTTGATATCCAAAATAAACACGCAAATAAAAAAAAGTTAAATGTTATAAAAGTTGAAACTTAGCGAGTAAAGAGCAAATGAAAAAAGATTTAAATGAAGAAAAATGACTCAAAACTGTAACAAAATTGAACATTTTTAAAACTTTTTCGAAAAAATGGAGTATAAACGTTAGGATGCTGAATTAACGAAATGAAGCCAGTTGGAGCTTCAATGCAGTCATATGTATGTCAATTGATTCAACGGGGAGTTTCAATTTAAGCGATTGCCCGGAAGTCAAATTTGAACCACGTTACTATATGCAGAATACGGAAAACACAAGTATCTCAGCTGCAAAAAATGATGATCGTCTGCAAAATTAAATGGACCAAGATGATCAAAAACTGCTAGGGTCGATTTTTCAGATGCAGGAATAGCTGCAGTGTGTGAGCTGTTTGACCCAGGAAAACGGGTTTCTTTGCCGAAAGTTCGCTGGATTCTCAGGAATGCCTGTATGAAGTCTCTGATCAAAAATGAAAAGCCCAATTTACTTTCCGGATATCAATCTCAAAAACTAGGTTCTGCGTGTCTTTATCATCATCGAGCTATCAAGGATTGGAGGCGTGTAATTTGGTCGGATGAAACTAAAATTAATTGATCGGGATCTAATAGGTTACAGAGGGTTGGAAAAATCTCATAGACCCCTTCGCAATCAGCATGTGCAAGAGACACTGAAATATAGAGGCAGACATTTGAAGCTCTGGGGCTGCATGACTTAGCAAGGGGCAGGCCATGCTTGCAAAAACCAAGGAAATATAGATGCCAGTCATTATTTAGAAATTCTGATAGATAACCTACTTGGAACTATCGAGCATTTCATCTGGCCCAGAAAAGATGTAATTTATCTGCACAAGGACCCAAAAAATACTTCCAATGTGACAAAATGTTGGTTCAGCAAAAATGTGATTTAAATTCTGACCAGCACAGTCACCAAATCTTAGTCCGATCGAGCATTTGTGGCGTCACCTCAAGCGTAGACAACAGACATATCCCGATGCCCCCCAGAGGCATAAACGAGGATCGAGAACGGGTTCAGTTCGAATTGATTAGCATTCCTGAACAAACATGCCTGAACCTAATTGACAGCATGTTTCGACGAATTAGAGCAGTTATTTCAGCGCGAGGGGATACACCAAATACTGAGATTTGTCCTTTAGTTTTTGTTTGCTTCAAGTCGAATAATTTTGAATTTCTTCGGAGTAGTTGTTTCTATGAACCCCGTAGGAAAACTGTAACAGTATTGAACAAAATTGAGACCTTCGTGAAAAATAGAAAATAAATGTTAGAAAGCTGAATTTATGTGCGATGCATTGGTGAAAACCCGCTAACTGGGCATGCAAAAAACATGACCGATTATTACCATTACGCATACTAATTAATCATTACCTTGTTTTAAATGGTTTAGACAGTGAGAGGGTTGAAAGTAACATATTGAAACATTGTTATATAAATCCGGATAGATGACAGGAGGGGGGGGGGGGGGGGGGTAAAAGAATCGAGTTAGTTAATGAAGATCCAATCTTCTTAACTCTCATATTGTGACTTCCCTACGCGAAGATAGTTATATTTGTATTATCGAAGAGTCTGTTTCAGTCAAGGATCTCCCAGAAGGAACTCTGTCCTCCCAACTGTTCTACTTCTCAGCAAAAAGAGGGAAACTTAAGGTACAAACATATTGCTAAAAGTTCTTTAAAAATTTTTCTGTAAATAAATTGAGTAGGATTGGAAGTAGCAAAAAAGGTTATTATTGCAACTCGAAAAGTTTGTGTATGTACGCCAGTAGAAACTACTGTAATATAAATAAAATTTGATTAATTTCAATTTTACACAATCGTATGTTTTTTTATGAAACAATAACAAACAAATACAAACTTGTTGCGAGTGCAGGTTGAGTTAGGTGCATTGACCAGTGACGGCAGAGATCTATGGCTGGATAAGTTATCCTCAGCTACCAGACAGACATTCAAACCAGAGCCACCCATGGATCTGGACAACTCAGCCAACGACGGTGAGTCATTAAAATCAATTCCCGCGAAATACAGACCTAAAGAATTTAAGACCTAAAGAATTACAGACCTAAAGAATTACAGACCTAGCAACGCAAGCAAGCAAGCTACGCAAGCAAATTAATGGCATTAAGGTGATATATTTTTAGCTGATGAGTTACTTTTCAGTCCAAACGCCAAAAGACCGTAAGAGTTATAAAATTGGAACTTCATTGTAAATGTTATTAAAAGCTAGTTATTATTATTAATCATGTTGAGCCTAATTGAGACCCGCAAGTGCCTGAAAACTAAACTTTGACGCAATTCTCGTTTCACGCAAAAATGTGTTCAAAGCAACTTTTTGCCAGCAATTTCAAAATTCAAACTATAAAAACTGATTGATCAATTTTCACGCTTTATGTATTTCACAGTTTTAAATACTGTTTGGCCACGAAAATTAATTATTTGATTACTATTTCTGCTTTTTAGATTGTTCTTTGTTTGTTAATTACTTTATTCTTGCAATGAATTCCATCTTATTAGCAAATAGATTTTTCAGTATGATGATTTTTTCCCAAAAATGTTCGTTAAATGTTCTTTTTTTCTTCAAATGTTTTCCCTGCTTTCAGAGGCCATAATCAATATGGAGGAGATAGAAATGTACAGTAGATTGAGTTACTTGTCCCCCTCGGACGAAGTGGACACCCACCGTCTGTTCACCATTCTCCTCGAGATACTACTCGATCACAAGATCAAAGACCCCTACAGGTCCATGGTCAGTACCTACATAGTCATTAAGCGCATACAACCATTATGATTAAAGTTCATTTCAAAAAAATAATTTTGACGCCCTTTTAACGATTTTTTTTGAGTCAGGCATTTCAAAAATTGCGGTGATCCTAAACCCTCAAAATGAACAAATTTTACAACATTTTTTCACAAATTTCTGAAATAAGGTTCCGTTTTTGAGGATTTTCGAACCAATTTGCAAAAGTTGACTTCAGAAATTTCATGGGTCCATCTCATTCTGTGGGCGAAGTTCAAAATGCGTACAAGTAAAAACTAATTAAATAACAGAAATGTCTGAAAGTGTTTGAAGACGCGTGCAATTTCTTGTAATCTTCCGTGTAATCTTTCCTTGAATTTTGTCCATGATTCATGAATCGTTTGAAAAATGCCAAACAATTCAGTCCTTCTCATCAAACTGGATAAACACAAAACAAATCCATTGTCATATTTGATTTTATATTATAATACTTTTGAGAACTAAAATTTAATTGTAATTTTGCAGGGCTGGTACACAGCTGGCCAGGAACTGATGATAGATGAGTTCTGCATGCGATATGGCATCAGGTGTACTGAGAAGTACCTCCAATACCTCAAAATACTCCTCAGAAGGGCTCTGGAGGGATCCCCAATTGACCCCTCTCTCTTGCATCTCGCATTCGTGTGTACCAGTGCGTCCTTTAGAGAGATCAAACTACCCGCTATGACCTCAAATGTGTAAGTTGCACACAGTGGTGTATGCAGGAACTTTTTAATGGGTGCGAATTTTCAAAAAAAAGTTTGGTCATTTTTTCCAACCTCTTTAGTCGACCAACTTGCAGACATGAAACTTCTTTTAAAAAATGATTTTCGTGTTGATTCGTGTTGGTGACTATAAAACTGTTATAAGTATCAGCTGGAAAAATTGTCCTATATAAAGTCTTAAATTAAAGCAGGGGCGGATCTAGGATTTTCTCAAGGGGGGGGGGGGACTTTCAAAAAGTTTTCGAAGTTTCGTCAACTTTTTTTAGGTCGACCAAACGGATTTTCCGAGCTCTCACAAATTGGTATAAAGACCCCAATTTGACCAAATTTAAAAAAAAACATGCCAAAAATGTTTTTTCATTGCGTTTTTCACTCAAAGTTAGTGTATATGAGGCGCTCAAGGCGCCTTTAGAAAATTGCACATCCTGAGTTATATTTTATTTGGTCTTAACTCATAGAGTAATTTCGGATAGGGTGCACCGTCTGCTCGTCACCCTATCTTATTTTCGGCCGGATAGATTCGTGCAACTTCTTAGTCTAATACCGATCCTAATCTTACTCTTATGCTATCTAGTCTCAGGTTGTTTAACTAGTCTCTGCTAGGCTCAATAGATCTAGGGTATACTGGTTTATTGCGGCTGCTGAAGTTCTCTTGGAGAGGCAACTAATTTCTAAGTTAAATTCAATTCTCTCTGGTGCTGAAATTACAAGTAATTTCAGCACTTACAAATAAGTGGGTTGTTAGTTTGATGGATCATGATTGGTTAATATTAAATACTTTACAGTGGTAAAATATCTAATTTATCCAATCATAAAATGTAGTTTAGATCAGGTTCCACCCATCCGGGTTTTACAGAGTTTTTTAGAATAGTTTTTCTGTAATTCAGAGGATGGATGATGGACGTTGGTATTTGGCGAACATCATATTTCTTCTGGGTTCTCCTGTTAGAGAAGTTCCAGGATCAATCGTTGTATCTTCTCATGACAACGACTGGGTTTTCTCAACAAACTCAAATCTGAGTTCAGAATGATTTGCTATGACAGGTTTTTCTGTTTCATGTAGAGAACTTCTTTTGTGTTCAACCTAGTCTGGGAATGGCGTGGGGATTGTGCGTGGAGGGGATGCCTGGTTACTCGGATCTGTACGTATACTTGAACATCGAGGTGGTCATTGGTCTAATTCAATGAAGTCCTTTTCTGCGAAGTCAAGTCGTACTCTAAATCCTTTGAGTTGTGATTGTGGACGGCATATCGGTTGTGGTTGGCCATTCTTTTTCGAGTGTAGTGGGGTCATTTTTGTCCTTGGATGTTCGTCTTTGGTGTTGTAAGTGATCTATATACTTCAAGGTCAAATTTACATTTTATAAAATTTTTATTAGTTCGGTGTTTTAATTATGATTTTGGTTAGTTGTTTTCACAAAAGCTTTTTGTTTTAGTTCGGTTATTTTGAAGAGTTACTCACCCTTGAGTACCTCCTAATAAAAATAGGAGTGTGGTCACAAAGCGTGGATGTAGCGCGGTGGGTTAGGCCGGCTATAGAGCATGCTCAGGACGTCCTCTCTGGTGGGTTAGGCCAGGAGTGGGAGTATGATTTCGTGCAGTTTCTGTGAGAGGTCCTGTTATGTGATAACGTTTTATGTTGGGTTTATTGTGGTTTTTCTTATGTTTCGTTGGTTGTGTCCTTTTTTCAAAAATCAAATTGTTTTTGGTATGGGTTTGTCTTTCGACTTTTTTGTGTTTTATTATTTCTTTCTTAGGCTTTATAATAGTCTTAAAAAGAATAAATTATCCAGTTTTAAACTGGGTTAATCCGGTTTGGGTACCGTTAGTTTCCTTTCCTTAGTCATGCTGTTATTCTATGATTTGTGGTGTTTAGTAAGCTGCATTGGTTAGTTTTGTTTAGTATATAATTCCTTTCCAACCGGGTTAAAGGAAAGTTTGAAACGTGTTATCGTGTGTTAGAGTTGTTGAGTGTGAAAGCTTGAAACTGAAATTCATTATTTAAACAATTCTTCGTGGGCGAGCTGTGCGAGTTTGGATAGAATTTTTGTGCGAGTGAATGGAAATATCAAAAGGTTAGTACTGCAATTTCGTTTTATCAATTTACTACATAGAATTTCAATTTTACTGCTAGCTTTTTGGAAAAAATTAAGTTAGAAATTTTCATCATTATTAGAATTACTGCTTTTAGGGAAGTAATTTATAAATTAATTTACTACATTGGTATGATTTTTATTGAATTTATCTAGTGCAAAATATTAATAGAGTTTTGAAGAATTTGAAGAAGTTTTCTATTTTTTATTTTTCTTTTGTGTAATTTCCTTATGATCGTGGGATGAAGACTAAAAATCTAAATAAGACATGGATAAAGAAGGGTTAGTATTTATTTCAAATTTATTAGTGAAGAATATGTATAAATCATACTTACCTGTTAGTCGTCGGGGAAAAAACCGTGGGGGAAGATGTCGTGGATTATGTCGGAATTTGTTAGTAATTTTGCTAGTATGCGAATGATGTTTTTAGTTTGAAGCAGTGGCCAAAGCAATTGAAGTGCTTTAATAGTTTTTAGTTCTTCAGTGCCAACTGCAAACTCATAAGGTGTGTTTTGGATGAGATTATATAATTTATGATTGTATTTAGTGTTGTGGATGAATTCTAATATCGGGATTTCTATAGGTTGAATTAATTCATGTGGGATAAGGAAGGGTCTGGATTTTTCTGCGTTGAAGATCTTCGTGATAGGACAAAAAAATATACATTTGGGTTATGGGGTCATAATTGCGAAGAATACCGTAAAGGTTAGTATCTTTGATGCAATATGTGAAGTTAAGAAAAAATGGTGAAGTATATTTAGAGTTAATAAACTGAAAACGGTGGTGTGGTTGTCTTGATGGAGTGTGTAGATCAAAATGATTTTGTATGAAGCGATAATATGTATATGTGTGGGTTTGTTTAGTGCGTAACATAATGTCGTGTGAGCAGTGCAAATCGCGTTCATGTGGTGCAAGGAAATTGAAGGTTAGTGAAAATAATTGAAATCTTTCTTTAAAACTTTCGTAAGCTTGTGTGTCGGTTAGTGCTTCAGAAATGATGTGGTCGAATTTGCGATCAAATATATTGAGTGTTATGATCGTAATATTCTAGCGTGTATTCGTTAGCTCGGGGTGCAGTGTATGTTTTTAGTGACTTTTTATATCCTATATAAGTAAATTGTCTATGTGTTAGTGGTGTGGTGAGTCGTTATAGCATATCTTGATTTCTTTCTATATCGATGTGAGTATTAGATAAAGGTAGGCAAAGGGGGTTAGTAAAATGATAATATGATGTCCAATGAAGTGTAGGCATTAAAACTTGTTCATCTACAAAACTACGTGTGTCGTTAGTGTCGTTAGGGGTGTTCAAAGTATACTGTGGAAATGAAGGTAAGGTGATTGCTAAAAAATCTTTCGTGTTAGTGTGATTTGGATGATTAATATATTCACGGGCTGTTCCTGGTTTTGTTGGAAATGGATGGTTTGGGAATATTCTTTTGAAAGTGCGGTAAGCTCTATTAGTGCTATTTGATGATTCGGTGGATGTGGATGATGGTGCTAATGATGCGGTATAAGCTGAAGAGGGTGTAGGGGTAGGTGGGTTTGATGATTCTATTGTGGATGAAATCTGGTTGATAGTGGGGGTGTCAAGGTGAAAGGGTTGATATTGTAGGGTGATAAAAGTATCTAGTTCTTGGGAGATTTGGGGAGTGTCTGGAGAATTGGTTGATCGGTCTGAATGAAATGAAGAGTAGGTTGGGGTGACTTGTGAAGCATAAGAGGGTGTAGAATTGGATGGGAGTGGGTTATTTGGTGGGATCGGTTGAAAAGGGGGGTTTTGAAAAAACTGAGGAGTTGGTTTGAAAATTATTGGATGGAGATGGTTCAGAGTCTGCAAATTCATCAGGGGTTTCAATATTTGGGTTATTGAGTTGTGAAATAGAGTATAAAACTGAGATATGTGAATTAGTGTCTGAATTCATGCCTGATGTTATATTATTGGTTGGGAAATCGGGTGGCGGGAAAGCGAAAAGTGGAAATATTGTAATTGGAGTATTGAGGTTGGTTGGGTGGGAATTTGAGCGGTGTAGGGATCCAAGTTGTCGGCTCATCGTGGGCTAAAAAAATTATTATTTTGAGACTGAAAAGCGGTGGTATGGGGTTGTTCTATAATTTGTTCATATGTATTTTCATCTAGTGAATGATTTGTCATTATATGTTGGATGGGACTTTGTGATATGGTTGGTCTAAAATTTGGATTATGTGTTATTGCTAAATTTCGAAAATTTCGTGGGACTAGGGATAATGGATGGTTATGTGGTAGGGGTGGTAACTGTGGTGCTGTAGGCGTTATTTCTATATTGTTATGTTCTTCGTCATATGTGTTCTGTCTTGTTGCTATTTTTGTGTTGTATTCTTTTATTTGTGCGTCTAAAAGAATTTTGTTTATTGATGATGAAAAAATTCCAAAAAATCCTGCAAATAGTATGCGTGCTACACTTGCTTGTCTATTTACTTGTGTGTGTATAGCGCATGTATTATAAATTCCTTTTAAAAGTGAAAAAAGAAATCCTATAAAGTTAAACATTGCGTATAAAATAGTTAATTTTTCTAAGATGTAATAGGGCCATCCTAGAAAATCAAGAATTTCATTTTTGAGTGTAACAAAGCTAAAAATATTTATAGGTGAAATATCTTGTGGTCGGTATTTTTCACCGTTTAGATATATATAGTCTTTAATGTCTTTAAAATATCCGCTATAGTCTTGTGTATAAATATCTGCAAATCCTGCGGTTTCGGCAAGTTTGCGTAAGTTTTGGTCAATTGATTGTCTTTGTATAGTGTCCATTTGTGTTAATAATTCTTGGAATTGTTGTGTTCTAATGTGATGTTGGATATCGGATTTTGAATATATTCCAATTGATTGTAGGTCAATATTTG